AATCACTTGCTGTAATAGAGTCATACCCCGTCGCCAGACTGAAAAAGTTCATTTTCAAAGTTCAGGAATAGTTCAACCGTCGATTTCGACTTTGTCCACTGCATGCTTCAGCAAGCTGATGCAAGCCAATCAGGCTTTTGGCGTACGCATAACATGTTACCCTGACCATCGCGCCCCCTTACGTTTCATACGCCCTGTTTCAGCCTTGTCACCGGATTCCAGGTGAGAAAAGAGGTGCGACTGAGGCCGGAGCGGTGCAAGCCTGTTTATATTACACTTTGATCGTATCCCACGATGGCTACGTTAATAATGGTCATTGTTGATGGGCTATGGGTTTCTACGTTTTTTGCATACCGTCGTCGCGAGAGGTTCGAATCTACGAATGAGTTTATGGCTAGACTTCTTTCTCTGACGAAATGCGATCAATCGCACGTCGAAGCGCTTAGCGTAAACTTCGGTTCTAATTTCGTTGATGAAAGTGCCAGTCGATATGTGGACAACAGATGTTCGAATGACAAAACCCTGTTAAGAATGGAACTTCATTGTGGAATTAAGTAATTTCAAGCATTGACGACCTCTTTTATTTTTTCGATATTTCACACTGACAATATTCAGCGGCTGAGACTGAAAATAATGAAAAACCCTACCAACTGGATTCAACGCCTTTGTCGGTCGCGTCTTGGGGTACTGTCGTTGTTCCTTATGCATACAAATGGCGGGTTAAGTCGCCGATTGAATTCCAGGACTATCCTTTTTCCAAGACAGAATCCTACAAAGCGTAGGCAACTGGCTAGATCGATCGATTTTCCCTTATCTCTATGTACAAAATACTCACGTAAGTTAACTGACCGGATAGATAAGTCATGCTACGGAAACACGAAAAATAACATGTTTTTTCGAGATCATTAGCTTCATGCTTTTTCCCGAAGCGGATCGCGTGGTAGATACACTGGAACAACACGGAAGCTAGATCAGGGCACTTAAGGCGTTATTCGGAGTGTGCTTCCACAGCAAATGCCGCACATGGGAACTGTGGAAGCACGCTTAGGCGCAGACTCACGCCGCGCCAGCCACCGGCGACAGCTCCCACCTCCGGCCTTCTTGACTCTATCTTAACGCCAGACACAGATGAGGGAGGGAAGAGAACATGTGGTAGATGCAGCGAAAGTCCACTACTACTCTAACCTGTCTCTCGCGCGAGTCACCGCCTCTACGTCACCTTGCTATGGGGCAGACGATGGACCTCGTCTAACCCAACGGTCGAACTGTCGTATTTGCATACAAATCGGAAGTCGACACAACATTCTTAGCTTCGATTGTGCGTACATATTATAGGAGTCAATACATCTTTATTGCTGCCACCCGTGTGTGTCTTCGGTTCTATTTAACAACTGCTGGATAATATTTACGGCTATAGCAGATGGACTTTCTAACTTTTTCTGATGAAGCTGGATCTGAGGCCTCATGGATTTGCCACCAGCCTGACTTCTCAAATTCATACCTCTTCTCCGCACTCCATTTGTGGCAGTCCACGTTTCTGCTCACCAGCAACCCACTGTCTAATTTCATCCTAATCATCCGCTTTTTTTCAGCGTGCATATTTTTCCCAGAATTGTCACTGCATTTGATGGTACCGTTGTGCCTTGTATTAATAACCAACTGGGACGTACATCGAAACCTCTCGCAGATAGTTTACATACTCTTTTCGACTAGCAGATACAGTTTCTTTAAAGTGCCAGTCAGAAGCAGTGCCGCTTGACGGCCTACTCAAAAAAGCATTTTAGTAACCCAATATTTGAAATATTCTGCATGGTCTAATGGCCATAACTAATTTTATTAAAGCAAATTACGATTGTAACCATGAGAGGTTGTTTGGGTAAGTTCTCCTAGGCTACCTCGTAAAGTGGTTGGTTTTGTGGTGGCAGAATTCTGTCTCTATTTTAAAAATATGTTACTCAGTTGGAGGTTAGGAGTTGAGTGAATATCAATGGCTTTTTGAACAATTTTTTTCATCTACCAGGCGAAACGGAATCTGAGGCCGCACACCTCAAAGGAACCCCCGGCGCCTCGATGCAAACGCAGCTATCGCCGATCGAAAGGGCTCGACTTGATCGGTTGTCTTTTCTTAGCGCTGATCCCACCCTACCTCAGCTTGACCCGGCGGCAGTCTTAAAGTCTTCCGAACAAGCCTCCGAAAGTAAGTCGTGTTTCCTTTGCTGGCTTGTTCACTGGTGTCTTATTGCGGGTGATTTTGTTCGCATGCCAACCATACAGAATAGAACAGCCAAAGGGGGGCCCTAACCCAACTTCCACTGTAGATTATCTGTGGATTATACACTTTTGCCAGGCAAATTTATCAGCAGAACAAAAAAGCCTGCTCGAAACATTAAATCACAATTTACCAATGTCGGGAAGTAAATGCAAGACTGAGGATGTTGTTTTGTTGCTACGGCAAAACTCAGAGATGTATTTTAACAGATAAAATTTGGAAGAATAGTCGTAGTTGGTGTACAAGCCTGAAAATTTTTACCCGTTAACGACGTCTGAAACAGGTGGACAAAAAGAAGCGATTATCCAGGGTAATCAGATCGGACTGGCCACCCCATACATGTGATTGGCTAATGAGAAAAGCGAAAGCGTGTAGGCATGCTAGCATATAAACGCTCAATTCGATCACCGGTTGGTTAATTCGATC